TTTTTTTTTTTTTTTTTTTTGTTTGGATAAACTTGCCTCTTGCGTGTGAAGGGGAATTTTCGTTCGAGCTGGATATTTCCAAATTTTCACGTCGAGAGAGATTCTTGATTAATAAATTATTGAGGAATTTCTTCGTTGAAAATCGAAAAGAATATATCGTTTCTTTCAATAATCTACATCGTGTTGTTTTTTTTTTTTTTTTATTGAAATTGCAAAGGCATTGCAAGTTTTGTTAACTTAGGAAGATTTGAGACTGTTATTAATATAAACAGAGAATTTGAACAGAGATATTTTGGAGTTTTGCATTTTCGAATTTTCTACAAACGCATCAAAATATTATCACACTTTATAATCTTAAACCTTTCGCTCGTCAAAAACGTAATTACTAACTGTTCTATTAATTGCGTGGCGCGAAATTTAATTCGTATCTCAAATCGATGCAGCGAAACTAGACCAATCCCTAAACTTCTCAGTTTAAAATTTCTCCTTGAAATCCAGCCGGGTAAATTCAGAGAAGCTTTGTTAGACTAAAGTGAAAACGTATTCCGAAATACCTCGGGGGTAGCAGTCTCCAAAGCGGAGATGCAGCAAAATGCAACAACGTGCACGTTTATTCGAAACTAGAGCGAAATTACGTTGTTTCCACTTGGTTCTTTGTCTCGAGAACCACCTCGGAACTGCTTTCGCCACGAATGGAAACGAGATGGAAGATGCATAAGAAAGCTGATTGTGAGCGAAACGAATAAAGGTACATACATACTGAAACACGTCAGCTAGCCAATGAGAAGTTAGACGGAAGTAAAGAGAAGGTAGAAAGAGAAAAAAGGCGAGGAGGAGGTGAACCGATAGGCGCGAAAGAAGTATAATAGAAAAGCAACGGCCCCACAGTTAATCGCGAAAGAGATTTTTACGATGACTCGCGAACGTTTCCTCATGTCACGCTCCGTAATTAACATCTGATTTAAATAAAATACGTAATCGCGTTCGTTCGTTATTTATATTGGAGTCGAAATAAAATTAGAGTTATTCACGTATTTATTTTTTATTACATGTTTTGTGTTTTATATCACGCGTTATCATTATATTATACTTTTTATTGTTATACATATATTTACGTTGCGTTTAATATTTTTATTACGTTATTACATTACAATTTATTATAATTAAAATATAATAAAATATTAATAAAAATATTATTTTAAATATATTAAAATTATTTTTTTATTATAATTATTTTGAATATTAATAAAATATTTATTTTAAATATATTAAAATTATTTTATTATGATTTTTTTGAATATTAATAAAAATATTGTTTTACATATATCAAAATTATTTTATTATGATTTTTTTGAATATTAATAAAAATATTATTTTAAATTATAATAAAAATATTATTCTACTGCAATTTACCATTTGTTTCTCAATTGTGACAAATGATAGACGAGTCTAATAATTCCAAGATCTTCTACTTAAATCTGTGAAATACTGTTTTTATATATTTCATAAAAATTTCAGGTATTTTACATGTATCTAGTAATTTAAACATTAAACGTAATTTAGTTTATTTGTTCTTCCTTACTGTTTCGTGGCTTTGTTCGTTCTATCGCGAGCTTTCTCGATTCAACGTCACGTGTTATATAAGAGCACTATTCTAACGTAAAAGTCTCGTGTCACGCTTCGGATGACAAACGTTGATGATAGTCATTGACTTGCATTCAAGCCTAGGCAAGCCGCGCCGCGAAATAAACGACAACGGATTTGTTACATGCTCTTGAATACACGGATTTCGACGTGCGCTCGTACGAGACATTTTTCTTTGCAAGGTGGCAAGTGAATCACGTTTCCCTTCTCGCGCTTTATAGAATAACAACTGTCTACACTTTGGAACAGTTGCGACGTAATTGTAAATTAATTCCAATTTTAATATTTGTGTAGTAGTCCAGAGTTTGAAAACAATAATCGCAATTTATAAAACCAAAACTTTTACTACACATTTCACTGTCATTTCACACGTGTAAGCAGCTACGACTATTAATTAATAGTTAATAATGTTTCTCTTTTACAAGGAAGTTTTAGTTAGATTTCTCAGTTCAGGCAGAAACAAATTCGGGGTGTCAGCAATGCTAATTAAATTTATTATATCTTAATTATTATTAATTAATTATTTATGAATTAAATTAAACCAGGGTAGAAAAAAATGATATTAAAAACATCAAGAAATAACTTCTTTTAAATAACAAAAATTATTATCGACAATCTTCGAAACAGTTCGATTAGATTCCAGTCCTCTCGTTACAATGTTCTCAGATGTCACGATCGATTTACCTTAAAAAAGAAAAAAGAAAAAAAAAGATACAGGAGCAAGTGGATTAAAAAGAGCACGACGTTCGAGCGTTCAAGAAGAAGGATGCCAAAAAAAAAAAAAGGAAGCTACGAGCTACACACTGAGGAACTGAAGGAAAAAAGTTGAAGGAGGATGAAGAAAAAGAAAGCGGCACATACTTGAGGAACTCCTTCCAGAAGGGGAGGAGTGAAGACGGGATGAAGAAGGGTTGACGTTCAAGGGATGAGAAAGGGAGAGAAGAGCCATCTGACGTGGAAAAGGAGACAAAAGAGTGAAAAGGAGATAGAGGAGAGAAACGAGAGAGAAGATACACAGGGGGGGGGGGGGAATGGATAGAGGAAACAAGAGAGAGGAGAGAAGAAGATACATACACAAGAGAGAGGAAAAAGGGAGGAAGATAAAGAGAGGAAGGAGAGGAAGTAAAAGGGAAGGACGTGGAGGCAAAAAGGAGTGAAAGAACACGGAGACAGAAGATCGAAAGGGGTGGAGGACAGAGAGCAAGAGAGGAGAGGCAGGGAACGAGAGAAGGAGATAGAGAGAAAGAGAAAAATGTGGAAAAAAAAGAGAGAGAAAGGAGAGGGAAGGAGCGAAACGACCTTGTTAAGTAGGAGGTGCGTGGCACGCATGGCGACGCAAACACAAGGCGTGGCTCGAAAGAGTTTCGACCCTATGTGTTCTTTATCCCTGGTACCCGCTGGCACACGTCGTACACCCACGATTGGAACGATCCACGACCCACGTTTATCTGCAGCACGCGTTACGTCATGCGAGCGAGTATCTCGACGCGGTGGAATAACGACGAGTAAAACGTGAAAGAGCGCCGCGTGTGTGGGAGAGACGCCGTGAGAATTCATTCGGTAGATCTGATTCCGACAGTTCGCCGCGGGAATCGATCGTCGACCGGCGTGCCGCGGCTTCTTCTTCTTCTTTTTTTTTTTTTTTCAGTTATTTTGGTTATTTACGTTCTTCTGGCGCTAATTTCCTTTTTCTTTTTTTTCTTTTCTTTTTTCTCTCTCTTTCTCGCGTCGTTCGATTTGGTTTCTCGCGGTGTGCAGTGGCGCAGTGGCATTTTCGGGCGTCGCGACGCGTCGAGGAGAAGTCGAGAGATGATGAGGAGTCGCGTTGGCGATTCGAGCCGGCAGATATGAGCGGAGGCGGAAGTATCGATAGGTGAGAGTCGGACGGACGAAGGTTCCGGCAGGAGCGTAGAGATGGCTGCTGCGGGAAGAAGAACCGAAGAAAATGTGCAAATTTTTTCTAAATATTTATTTAATAAATCTCTACAAACACTTCGTAGGATCAACTGGCTCTGTTGGATACTGGACGGAATCTCAAATCTTGTTACACATTGTTATAATTTCGTTTTCGGAGTAACATACAACTCGTTCGATTAATCGATTCAATTGTAAAGTACAAAAATCAATATATATATATATATATATATATATCGATATATTGATTACGATTTCTATTTCTATTTTGTCTTTTCTCTTCGGCGTCAAAATTGAAAAAATGTCTGCAATTTCTGGCGTCTACAATGCGCAAACAGTTATTTTGAAGGATATTAAGAAGTTTCTATATTGGAGTTAAATAATCACAACCTCTTGCGCTGGAATGACGTACCACGTCATTCCACGTAGGTTGAGAACTTTTTGTCCCAAAATTGTAATATATATAATTGTAATATATATAATTCTCAGTTTCAAGTGTACTTAAGTAAAACAAAATAGGCAAAACAAATAATAAATTTGTTACTTCTTGATAATTTCTATCCGGTGATATCATACCGATGAGTTCAAAAAGAAAGCGACGAATTGTTGTGTACGGTCACTCGTTATGGTCCGCAATCAGTTGCCAGCGCAACGTGGTTAAGCTTCACGAAAGTGTAATCTTTGAAATTAATTATTAAAACAGTCGATCGTGTCTGCTAGTAAAAACTTACTAATAAATTCATACTATTCGTTAAAACACTCACAATTTGTACTGAAACAAACAGAGCAACCGTAATTTTATTACTTAGTTGATTCTTAACCTCTTGCGCTGGAATGACGTGCCAGCTTTTTGTCACAAAATTGCAATATTTTCTCAGTTTCAACTACATTTAAGTAAAACAAAATAAGCAAGACAAATAATACATTTATTACTTCTCGATAATTTCTATCCAGTGATATCATACCGACGAGTTCTTCGAAAAGAATGCGACGAATTATTGTATACGGTTTGGTCGCTCGTTATGGTCCGCAATCAGTTGCCCGGCGCAACGTGGTTGAACGCACGCGACACGCGTGTAAGGTCGTGAAACGCGCGTATTAAACGTATTAATCCTTCGAATTGCCTCGAATCTCGGCACGAATTAGCGGCACGCGTTCCCCGCAGAAGCCATAGAAATGACAAAAAAAATCGGAACGTTCGTTCACGGTGGCACGGCCCTTTTGTGCCGCTACGGTGAAATATCGCGGGCGCAGTCGTTCAAACTTGAGCTTACAGCCGCGTGATTTATCAGACGAGGAGGTTCGCATATTGCGAACGCGCCGTATCCGCGTCACAGTTTTTCATTTCGCGTTTATTGCCGGGCGGCGCGCGCGGAACGCTGTGGCGCGCGCGAAAATGGAAGTGGGAAAAATTTATACGAACGCGCGTATCTGTCTTTCAGGGATCGTGGTGTCGAACGCAGGAGCCGGCGGTGTTCCGGTCGGGATCGCGGTGGCCAGGCAGAGATTGCAGCATCAGGAAACGTCCACCTCGATGCGCAATGTTTCCCTGAGTCATCACACCTCGCATCACGCGAGCTATCATCACTTCCAGCCCGACAACCTGGGTAAGTTCTCCTTCTTTTATTTCTCTTACCATCTCTCATCTATGTTTTTTCGCGAGAAATCTGCGAAAATTCGGTGGAAATGCGTGTATTGTTCGTGCTCCGATTTCAGATTGGTTCGGAATTCGGAATTTTTGAATGGAGAAATACCTGTTATATTTTAATTTTTTATTAATAATAAATAATATTTTAAGAAATACCTAAGAAATATATTTCTTAAAATATAATATATTTTAATTTTATATTAATAATAAATAATGTTATATTTTAAGAAATACCTAAGAAATTTCTTAAAATATAATATTATATTTTAATTTTATATTAATAATAAATTTATATTAATATTATATTTTAAGAAATACCTAAGAAATATATTTCTTAAAATATAATAATATTATATTTTAATTTTATATTAGTAATAAATAATATTATATTTTAAGAAATGCCTAATCTAACTTAAACTTAAACTTAACCTAAACCCGAAAAAGTCCTAAGTTGAAACTTGTTAGAACTGTCAAAGAATGATCGAAGTGATCGATTTGTAGATTTCATGGATTTGCACGGATTGCTTGGATTTTCTCATAAGATCTTACAAGTTTACTATTAAGGACGCGCACAGTGTTTTTTCCCCCTTTTTTTTAGAGATAGCACAACAAAATATGATCAGAATGTTCTTTGTTTGATTTTCTACTTCGAAATCGATGTCAAACAAAAATATCGTGCATTTTCTTTCTTCAAAACAAGCTTGAACAGTTAGTTGTCAGGTTACGCGATGAATTTACGGTTTAAAATGAAGTTAATTGCATTTCGCGAGATACGTATATTTTTTTTAAAAAAAGAGGCAGTTATTTTTTGGCCAACCTAATAATTTTTCATTCTTCAAACAAAAAAAAAAAAACAAAAAACAATAAAAGAGTCGAAGAGTTGCAAACTTCAAAGTGGCAGAAAAACGAAAAGAAGGAACAAAAAAGAATTGTTTAACCGAAGTACGAGGCAAAAGCATCGAGTGCTTCGAGAAATGCTGAGAGAAATAAAAAAAAAAAAGAAAAAAAGCGAATCGAACACGCGAATAGGGGTGAGGTAGTGCTTTTTAAGGCGCCTTTTGAGAAACCTGCACAACAATCGTGGAAAGGAGTTGCTCCGCAGATCCTTAAAGACGCCAGCCACAATATCGTTTCAGCGAAATAATTATATCGCGATTAAATCGTAGAAAAAGAGCACGCGATGCACAAAGCCGGACTATAGGGACAAGCTGAGCGTTTTCGACAGAGAACAATGCGCGGAGTATTTTCGTGGAAAGTTGCTTGTGTTCTCAAAGACATTCGTCCAAAGGAAAATAACCGTGGAAGGGTGGGAGAAAGTAAACAATAAAGAGATAAATCACTCCCTTTTTCTTTTGACAGACGGTATACAGTTGTTGAGTGTTGTTCGAGAAGAGAAATCATCGTACGAAGATGATTAAATGGCGAGAGTTCTTGTTGATGAAACACTAAAAGTTTGAAATATTTTTTGTTCCAGGCAACCATTTTAATAAAGTCGTAACGTATTATTTTATATTTCCCGAGAAAATTGAGAATTTTGTCGCTACGATCTGCAAATTTTTAACTCTATCCTCGATTCTGATCGAAAAGGAAATTTTTGACAGAGAAACACAGTGTTCTGCATTATAAGTAATCAACACGTTAAATAATAATTTTCAATGCCGTTTCACACTGGAATCTATTGAAATTGAAATTATTAAAACAAGAGACGTGCAAAATCATCTTTCACAAATTGTATTGCATTTTTCATCGAAACAGTTCATTGATGAAAACAGTCATGTTAATTAAATCTCTTCTATTCTTTTCATTCGGTCCAACATTAATCAACGTTCAATGTTCTATTCTTTTCTTTTCTTTTTTTATTAGATATTGTGAAATAAAAAAGAAATCCCTTCTTCATAGACGCAGCGTATCGTGCGTGGAACCGAAATCAAGAACGTTGTTACAGGAACGTTTCCCCTCCGCGACTTTTATCCGCTTTTGATACGCAATAACGCTCAGGGTCGACCACATTCGCGTGTATGAAAGCCGGCGAGAAAAACTCATTCTAGGCTAATTACTTTTCATACCTGTCCGACTATGTGTTGGTTGTACATTGTTCAGCGCACGGCGCTTAAGGCGCATTCATTGCATCACCTATTCCTTCTGACGATCCTTTTTCTTCTTCTTCTTCTTCTTCTTCTTTTTTATTCTCTCTCTCTCTCTCTCTCTCTCTCTCTATTTCTCTGTCCGTCGACACTGATATTTTAGAGAGAGAGGCGCGCGACTCGAATTATTCGCCAGTGATATGAGAATTTTCGTATGAAACAACAAGCTTCCCACCGAATTTTTCGTATCGAAATATCCGAGCGAATGAATTTCACACCGAGTCGAATGGCTGTCGTAATCTGAATTCCGATGCTGGTATTTTTCTGTCCGTTTTAATGATACAGTAGCAGATAAATGGAATTTCTTTTTTTTTTTTTTTTTTTTTTACCGGCGCATTTCAAAACTGGTTGACAGTATGAAACAGAAGAATTTTTGGAATCGGATGAATGATATGGATAGGATAGTTCAAGCAGGACTTGTTGGAGAAAAATTTAATAAGGATATGTGACAGAAGAGAAAGAAAAAGATTAGTACAAATACCAGTATAAATAATATAATGAATTAGTACAAATAGCAGGAGAATCTTAGAGATTGGAACAGTATGAATTTCAAACAGGATGTCGGCTGTATATTTAACTTCTTCGTAAACATTCGAGGACAATCAGAGATTAATTGCAATTGAAATTTTGAATACTTGTATTGGAGTTGTTTTTAAAGTAATTTCAATTTTCTGTGTGTGTTTAAAGGAAAATTTATAATTTTGTAATTATTTCTAATCGAGGAAAACGGAGATCATTTATGAAAGTATTAAGAACGTCAGAAAAAGAATAGAATATAAAATTATTGTATTAAAATTACTTTATAAATATTATTATATGTTATTATAAATATTATACAATATATATTATATAATATTATAATACAAATATTATTATTATTATATATATATGTGTGTGTTTTTATGATTACGTACTATAATACGAGATAAAAAATTGTAACTAAAGAGAGTTGCTGATCTTTTCAACTCTGTAAGTTGAAACATAAAGAAATTATTTCTTAAAATTTACACTATCTTTCTGTAATAAATAAATCTACAAGAATAAGTTCTTCTTTCGAAAGACTTCCGTCTATACGAATCATCTTCGAATAATCCCCGAATACAATCCTCCGTGGAAACCACGAGGAATTTTCTCAAATCAACAAATCTTTTTTAAAATATTTTTACTCGAAAGAATCCTACAAAATTAATCGACTCGTCAGACGTATGTACATACGCGTTCTCGATCTTTTTAACAATTAAATCGAACACTCGATCTTAATTTTTCCCAACAACAGAAAATCAAGCAGCACTTTCAATCGATTCACGAGCGTGCGTTAATCGCGAGATGATTCCCATCGTTATCGGCGAGTTCATCGTTACGTACACGCGGGAAGTTTATACCTTTGTTACACGATCTCTCTCACCTGTGGAATATTAGGTACATTTCCACACGGAGGTTACTCACAAGCGTTTGCTGCGTAAGTGCGGCTGTTTTCATTTGAGACGGTGCTGCTGCAGCAGCCATCGGCATTCCTAAAGCGAGCTGAAACATCTGGGCGGAATATTAACGAGGGACACCGAGGGGCTGTCGACGTTCTTTCGAAAAATTCCTTTTCCGTCGTCCGAGGGGGCACGAGACCGATCGTCTTTCCACGTCGTGCGACAAAATTTCCCCGTGGCCGTGCATTTCTCCTTTTGCATCGCGAAATATTTCGCGTAGTCGCGAGACACTGAGAATTTTTCTTTCCGAAGAGTTTCTTCGCGAAGAGACACCTCTCTGCTTGCATAATACAAATTCTCTGGACGTTGTTGCGATTTCATTATTCCGTAAATTTCTCGGAGTACGATTGATCTTCTTATCTGCTATCGAGATTAGAAAGTTCCGAGTAGTAAATTTCTGTTGTTTAACCATTCGAATTTTCTTCGAATCGCTAATTTCTTCCTACGTTTAATTCTATTCCTGGTGAGAAAAATTCAATTTGAAATCGAATTTCGATCAGGCTCGTTATTTCAACCGCTTGCTCTGGCGGACTGATTGCGGACCATAACGAGCGACCAAACCGTGTACAATAATTCGTCGTTTTCTTCTTAAACTCGTCGGCATCGATATCACCGGTTAGAGATTATTGAGAAGTAATAAATTTATTATTTGTTTTGCCTGGGTTATACTTAAATATAATCAAAGGTGAGAAAATACTGCAATTTTAGGACAAAAAATTCTCGACGTTCGTGGCACGTCATTCCAACGCAAGAGGTTTAACCACTTGCGCTAACAACTGACTGCGGACCATAACGAGTGACCTAACAATAATTCTTTTTCAACTCGTCGATATCACTGGAAATTATCGAGAAGTAATAAATTTATTATTTGTGTTTGTTTGGGTTATACTCAAATACTTGAAACTGAGAAAATATTGCAATTCTGGGACAAAGAATTCTCGAAATTGCGTAGCACGCCATTCCAGCGCAAGAGGTTAAGGTGGACGCAGGTATTTCTTTTATTCATTGTTTTTAATCAATAAAATATATTTGTGGTGTAAAATTGATACAAAAGGAGAGATTGTAAAAGAATGATTTATTACACGATATAATGAAGTTTAAAGAGTCACAAGTATCTATTAAATTCGGAAAGATTTTTGTTTTTGTATGACTCAACTACTAAAACAGCATGGTCGTGTTTGTGGTATAAATTTTCTGGACACCGTTGCAATTTCTCGAAGCAACGCTGGTATTCTTGTCTATGGAATATGACTGATTTTTCTTACTGCTGGTAAGAAATTTATGAGGAGGTAACGTTATCGAAAAGAATCAGTGAAATATATCAATGGTGTAAG